ACTCACTGCAATGAGGACATTTGCGGTTACGGGCCTTCACGTTCTTCTCTATGCACTCTGTTAACACACCAAACACCCAAACCCTAAACCCTAAACCCTAAACCCTAAACCCTAAACCCTAAACCCTAAACACTAAGCTCTAACGTCAAGTAAGGTCTCCGCTCGGGAAGCCTCAACCGTTGGGAGGTAGCTAAAGAAACTGCATAATAAACCCTAAACCCTAAACCCTCAAACCCTAAACCCTAAACCCTAATTTACCTTGGCAGAACATATGGCCACACTTAACGAGGACATGATCCTTAAAACGTTCAGTGCAAACACCACATAGGAGCCGCCGCTGCACAACACCCAAAACCCTAAACCCTAAACCCTAAATAAGCCCTAAACCCTAAACCCTAAACCCTAACATAAAATGTAAACCCTAAGTAGTTCCTTACGCGCATTGTGTCGTTTTCCTCTTGCAGCAAATTGTTGATAGCCAAGGACGGATCTTCAGAGGCAGCCAGGACTGCGCACAGAACCCTAAACCCTAAACCCTAAACCCTAAACAGCTGCTGCTGCCTCCTGTACCACGGTTTAGGTACTCCTGATCAAGGAAGCAACCGACTGCGAGTTAAATCCTTGCTGATTGTTTAAAGTGGCTGTTATTTTGCATATCTGCACCTAAACCCTAAACCCTAAACCCTAAACCCTAAACCCTAAACCCTTACGTCTTTTTCGTTCTTGTTTTTCATGTCTTTCTTTAAGCTTTTGCAATCTTTTATCTGCCTCTGCTCTTGCCTCTGTTTGTTTTCTTAATGAAGCCTCGAGGGAAAACACTTTTGTTTGGTGTTGCTCTATTACTCCTTCAAAGGCCTAAAAAAAAAAAAAAACCTAAACCCTAAACCCTAAACCCTAAACCCTAAACCCTCAGTTGGGAACGTAAACAACAAACAAATGCTACAACCATTCAAAACCCTCAACAACACGGCGCCAGGGTAATCCAACAAGGGTTTAGGGTTTGGTTCCAGCTCAACAAGGCTTTAACAGTCTACGATTCATGTATTAGGGTTTAGAGGGGATGTCTAGGGTTTGCGTCATCTAGGGTTTAGGGTTTAGGGTTTTTGATGGGGTTATGGGATTATGGCCTACTTTGTTCTTCTCACTTAGAAGCTCTAGTTCTCTTGCCATTTCATCGTTCTGCAACGAAAACCCTCAAACCCTCAAACCCTCAAACCCTAAACCCTAAACACTTAACACCAAACCCTAAGCATCAAACCATAAACCCTAAACCCTAAACCCTAAACCCTCCATCCTTACCGTCTTAAACAGTTTTTCCCTCTCCGTCCTCAATGCCTCAAAACAACTCGCGATTTCATCGCGCTGTTGATCTGCCACGGCCTGCAAACACCCAGTAAACCCTAAACCCTAAACCCTAAACCCTAAACCCTGAATTAAAACGTTCATACCCCTGAAGCACGAAGAGGAGAGATCTGTATTGCCTCTCTTCTGCCCTTACCCCTATAACACCCTAACAGCCAGCCCTCATGTATATAAACCCTAAACCCTAAACCCTAAACCCTAAACCCTTACTGCTCTATGTTGCGCCTGCTGCAGTGCCTCAGAGAATGCCCTCGTCTTTGTTGCTAGCTGATCGATGTGCTGCTTCTCCAGTTGCAGCTTCTGTTCTTGCAGGCGGCCTATGCGCTGCAGCAGCTGCTGCTGCTGCAGTGCTGCTTCTGCTGCTGCCTTTTGCTGCTGCACCGCCTCGTCCCTGCAAAGCAAAAGCAACAGCAACAGCAACACTACCTATTCACAATTTCTTCCCTGCAGCAACACCAGCAGCAGCAGCAGCAGTAGCAGCTCTTACTGCTGCTGCTGCTGCTTCCTCCTCTTCTGCTTAGACTGTTCCTCTTGCATCTCTGCTTATAGTAGTTGTGCTGCTGCTGTTGCTGCTTCTGCTGCTCCTCTTGCTGCTGCTGCTGCCGCTGCTGCTGCTGCTGCTGCTGCTGGTCTCACCTTTCCCTTAGTTGTCTAAGTAGACTCTCGCAGTGAGTCTGTCGCTCTTCAAATGCCTTCGATACTTCTTCGAGCTCCTCCGTCACATGCGAGTATTGCTGCAGCAGCAGCAGCAGCAGCAGCAGCAGCAGCAGCAAATAAGTAAATAAATAAATATAAATATAAATAAATATAAATAAATAAACTAAACAAAAAATAAATACAGGTGCTGTTTCCCTCACCTGCCGCAATTCAGACACTTCTGCTTCTAAGCCCTGCTGCTCGCTTAGTCGCCTCTGCAACGCCTGCAGCAGCAGCAGCAGCAACAGCAGCAACAGCAGCAGCAGTAGCAACATCAGCAACAGAAGGAACCCAAACAGAAGTAATACCAGCAGCAAGAACACGAAAGCAAATACAGGTGCTTTCTCCTGTTTGTGCTGCTGTTGCTGTTGGTGTTGCTGCTGCTGCTGTTGCTGCTGCTGCTGCTGCTGCTGCTGTTGTTGTTGCTGCTACAGATATAGTGTAAATGTACCCGCAGCTCGATTTGCAGCATCGAGTCTTCAGGCGTCGCTGCAGCGTCAGCTGTGTTAGTATCTTTTGCACTGGGATCGTCTTTTGCTGCTGCTGCTGCTGTTGCTGCTGTTGCACCTGGGTTGTCTCCCGCTGCTGCTGCTCCTCCTCCCCCTCCTGTTGCTGTGTCGCCTCCTGCTCCTGCTGCTGCGTTTGCTGCTGCTGCATCTGCGGCTACGGCTTCTGCTGCTGTTGGTGCTCCGCTCTCCGCTCCTCCTGGTGCTGCTGCTGCATCTGAAGCAGCAGCAGCAGCAGCAGCAGCAGCAGCAGCAGCAGCAGGCCCACCATCTGGGGAAGCCGATGACTTCAAACGGAGGCAATTCATCTCCTGCAACAAATCAACACCCGCATGCAGCAGCAGCAGCATCAGAAACAGCAGCAGCAACAACAGCAGCAGCATAACAAACAAAAATGAGTAACAGCAGCAGCAACAGCAGCAGCAGCAGCAAATAGGAGAGACCCACAGAAAGCTTTAAGGCTTCGATTACTCTTTGCTTCTCTGCCTTGAGCCGCTCATTCCTCACTGCAGCAAATAAGCAGCAACAGCAGCAGCAGCAGCACTTATACATATACAGCATGCAGCAGCAGCAGGAGAAGCATAAGCAGCAGCAACAACAGCAGCACCAAGCAGCAGCAGCAGCAGCAGCAGCAGGACGGACATAAGACTTGATTGCTAGCGTTCTTAAGTTGATCAAATTGAATCTTTAGCTGCATTTGCTGCAGTGCTCGCAAGGAAGCAGCAGATTCAAATTGCTGCTGCAGCTGCTTAGCAGCAGCAAGCTGCTCCTTTAGCAGCAGCAACTGTATATACACACACAAAAACAACAAACAAATATATATATAAATATATAAATATATATATTCATAGAATATGCTGCAGCACCAACAATATGCAGCAGCAGCAAATATCCAGCAGCAACAAGAACAATATGCAGCAGCAGCAGCAGCAACCATAGCAACAGGTCGGCGAGGGTTTAGGGTTTAGGGTTTAGGGTTTACTTCCTGTACTGCAGCATCTTTTTCTGCCCTAAGCGTATGATTTTCCTCTAAGAGGGAAGAAAGTCTTTCAGACAATTGTTCTCTCGCCTCCGTCTGCTTCCTCTGCATGCAGCCCCAAACCCTAAACCCTAAACCCTAAACAGTAAACCCTAAACCCTAAAGCCTAGGGTCTAAACACTAAACCCTAAACCCTAAACCCTAATCGCTATGCGCGCCCCTGAGATGATCGAAAGGTGATCGAGGGTTTAGGGTTTAGCGTATAAAGTGCAAAGCAAACTAAGGAACACAAAGGGGTTTAGGGTTTAGGGTTTAGGGTTTACAGCCAATTCCTCGAACGCTGTGTCCGCCTTCGTCTGCTCCTCAAGCAGCTCCCTACGCAACTCCTCCACTTCAGCAGTCTTCGCCGCCTGCACCCGCAAACCCTAAACCCTAAACCCTAAACCCTAAACATGCAGAAGGGGAGCTGCCCCCAACCCTTAACGCAAATTTCTAGAGCTTAAACCCTAAACCCTAAACACTAAACCCCAGACCCTAAACACCCCAATGCGCAACCCCTAAACCCTAAACCCTAAACCGCACACCGTCACCCCGAACCGCAATCCCTAAACCCGAATCTGCAACCCCTAAACCGTAAACCCTAAACCCTAAACCCTCGCTGACCAGCTGTGCGTCTCTTTGTGAGCATAGCTGCTGCAATTCAATAAAGGGGGGGCTGCGCATGATTTGCATGCGCCTAAGAGTTGAGAGTGCTGCTGCTGCATCTGCTGCTTTACGCAGTTTCTGCTGCTCCTCTAGGAGCTGCTGCACCTGCTGCTCCTTTTGCTGCAGCTGCACACGTAACACTGCAGCAGCAGCAGCAGACTCGTCATCGCTGGCCGCCTCCTGCTGCTGCTGCTGCTGCTGCTTGTCGCCTCGAGAGGCATCGGAAGACGCAGCAGCAGCTGGAACCCCTTTTGCTGCATCAGCAGCATCTGTTGCTGCTCCTGCTTCTGCCCCTGCTTGCTGCTGCTGCTGCTGCTGCGGAGTTGCTGCTGTGTCTGTTGGTTCAACCTCGTCAGACACCTCATCGCCCCTAATTGCTGCCTTTAGCAGCGCAGCAGCAGCAGGAGCCCCTGCTGCAGCACGCAGCATCACTTGCTGCTTCTTGAGTCGGGATACCTCAAGATCTGCTGCTGCTGCTGCTGTTGCTGCTTGCTGCTGCTGCTGCTCAAACAAACGAGCCTTTGTCCTCCAACTACCAACCCTCACCCGCAGACGCCGCACAGCTGCCTGCAGTGCCAGGCATCTAGGGCACATACCTGCTGCTGCTGCTGCTGCTGCTGCTGCTTCGGGGTTCGCAGAAGCATCAGTCGGTGAGGCAGAGCTAGCGGATGCTGCTGCTGCCCTGCTGCTGCTCTCTTCCTTGTCACCCTGAGCAACAGGTGGGGTCTTGCTGCACGCACTAGATCCAGCAGCAGATCCCGAGGCAGCAGCAGCAGCTGCTGCTGCTGTTGCAGCTGCTGCTGCAGCATTAGCAGCATTTGTGCTGCATGCACTGCCTGCTGCTGCTGCAGAGCGAGAGATAAGCAGCAGCAAGACCTGCCTCACCAGCTCAGTAGACCAATTCCTACAAGCGAGCAGCCGCTGCTTTAATTGCTGCAGTTCGCCCGATGAGTCGCTGCTGCTGCTGCTGCTGCTGTTGTTGCTGCTGCTGCTGCTGGTGCCGTTCGGTAAAGCTGCGCCAGATGAAGATCCGGTGCGCAGCAACGCAGAGAAAGCATCATCTTCGTAGTCCGAATCCGCTGCATTCTTGCTGCTGCTGCTGCTGCTGCCGCCGCTGCTGCTGCTGCTGCTGCTTCCCTTGCTACCGCCCGCAGGCACGCTGCTGTCGAAGAGGCACAAGCCTGAGCACATCCAACGACCTCCGCAGCAGGGCAGCCTTGAACAGCAGCAGCAACAGCAGCACAGCAGCAAGAACAACAACAACGCCAGCAGCAACAGCAGGAGCAACAGCAGCAGCAACAACAGCAACAACAGCAACAGCAACATTAGCAACAGGAACAATTTGCTCGGCCTACCTGGACGCTGAAGCAGCGCCTGTAGGCTGGTCTTTAGCAGCAAGTTCTGTTGCTGCTGCTGCTGTTGTTGTTGCTGCTGCTGCTGCTGGTGCTGCTGCTGGTGCTGCCCGAGCAACAGCAGGAGGTCAGCGTTAAGAGCGGCCCAAGCATCAGCAACAGCAGCAGCACATTTTGTTGCTTCTGCTGCTTGCCGCTGCTGCTGCTGCTGCTGCCGCCTCACACAATTTAGCTGCCTACGGTACTCATGCAGCGCCCCCCGCTGCTGCACTAAAACCCTAGCCAAGAGTTCATCATCCTGCGGTGCAGCAAACACTCATTTGGGGTGTACATAAACTCCTAAACCCTAAACCCTAAACCCGAAACCCCAAACCCTAAACCATAAAGTTTCCGCCCCCTCCCCTACCACCCCCCTCCCCCCTC